CCGTGATTTTTCCCAACAACTAAAACTAATTTCGAATCAGTGTATGGTTTTGTAAAAGCTGTGCTTTATTTGTGCCTTAGGAAAGGGATAAGTGTTGAGGAAAAAGGGTGTGTACAGGATATTTCGCGTGACAGGTAAGAAGTTTGGTGTTGTTTTGTTATTGTAGTATGTGGGTTGGTGGGGGGAGGTATACAAATGTTTGTGATGTGGGGACTTTAAACTTAATAACGGAGTTTATTTTTGTTGTTATTTATTTGGCCTTATAAACTAGTATAAGCCATATTTCAGTAAGTCTAAAAGACCTAAATTAAATACAAAATATGGGGATTTATTAACGGAGTTATTTGACTCATTGTTAAAGTTAGAACAACTTCTAAAAATTGTTTAAAATAGTGAAAATCTGAAAATTGCTTAACATATGTTTCTTACGTTTTGAGTTTCCTTTCAATTACCAAAAGTTGCATCAATTATTGGATTTATTACAATAATTAGTAACAGCCATATTCCAGTATTTAAACTTATATCAAATACAAAATTTGGGTATATATTAATAAGTTAGTTATTTTACTCATTGTTAGAGATAGTACAACTTCTAAAAATGATTTCAAATAGTGAAAATCTGAAAATTGCCTATCATATGTTTCTTACGTTTTGAGTTTCCTTTCAATTGCCAAAAGTTGCATCAATTATTGGATTTATTACAGCGATATTCAGCATCTTAAAAACAAGTTAGCCAAGTTTAATTAATTGGCAATATAAATTTATGTGCACATCACAAACACTTTATTTATTATCAATATTAAATGCTTTGGATAATACGTTGATAGTAGTAAAAAACAATAATATATTTTGATAAATTCATACTATGAGGCTGGATTGGAATTCTATTTAAGCATTCTAAGTACTACCAAAAATTTGGTGATGCTCCATAATGGAATCGGAACAGATAAAAAAGAATAAATAAATTTGTTTCTTTTATTTATTGATGTATTTATTCCATAATTTTAAATTAATGCTTTTGATTTTCAATGAAGAATTTGTGTTCGAATCCAATTCAAGACAATTAATTACTACATTTTTGTTTGAACCTTGATGGCATCATCTCTTTCTCGGTTAATTGAATTATATTATGGAATTTTGCAAAGTGCTTACACATATATATGTATATGTTGCATACATACATATGTATACAAAAAATATAGCTTATAAAACTAAATGGGTAGCTAAAGTAACTGTACTTTATGTTACGTAGTTATAGAATTTATTAAAACTCTCCTTCGATAACTCAGGTTGTTGGGTTATAATTTTACCCTTGTAGCTGTGGACTGTATTAAACACTGATTTGTTTGTATATTATATACTTGTTGCAGTTCTAATTAAAATCACTGATTTGTTACTAAGTTATAATGAAAGAAGATATATTTATTTTTATTGGTTATTTGGTTTTTAAGTGAACGACTAGTTCAATTAAAATACTACGCTACCCCCTCTACCGGGGTAGCAACCATTCCGTGTAAAGCTTAATGCCCTGAAATTTGTCACCTTCATGGCCAATATAATAAAACGAAAAGACGTCCGAACAGTAACTATAAATTGATTTACCAAAATCCACTATCAACGACTGCTTCTACTAAGAAATCATGAATTTAACTAATGTTTTTGTCAATTTATTAATATTTTCCATATGTGTGTGTTTTTCATGATGTCACCATTTGTTTTCGTGATTCGATTGCTCATTTATTTATGCTTGTGTGTCGATTTCGACATAATTTTAGCGTTGACTGTGTTTGTAAACTGAATAAGTAAACATATACCGTTCGCTGGCGTATGTGTACACGCGGCTACAGGTAAACGCCCACATTGGATTTTCATAGATTTTTGGGCTTTTCTTTGGGGTTGGAGTATTTTCATTGATTTGCGTGTATTGAAAATTACTACATGTATCTCGTTTTACCATGCTATGTATTCGGATTTTCTAGCTTGCATAGAACCGCTATGCTTGGCATAAATATTTCCTGTTAAAAAATAATTAATCTTGCTATATTAGTTTTTTTTTATTTTATCATATAATTTTTGATAAATATTTTAATTTTTTTAATAACCTATTTGTCTTTAGTGGACAATAAATAGAAAGTCTTAGTGTTACACTTACTACTGAGTTAGTGTTTCCCCTTTGTTCAAAATTAAAAATGGTCATATAATTTGAATTTTTTTTAACCAGCAATGTTCTTGCAAATTATTTTTTTCATTATTTTTGTTGAAAACCAAATACTTTTGATATAGTTGATTGGTATGGATAAAACTAATCTCCATAAAATTACTTTACCTACTTGCCTTTACCTATCAATATTGTCTTAATTTATATTAATAAAACTATCTACACAAGTATTCTATACAAAATCTATAAAACTATAAGCTTTTTAGTTTTGGAATCAATTATCTCTACCAAATAAATTTTTCAATAATTGACAAATTATTATTTGAATTATTTTCCTGAAAAATTACATAATTTTTCAAGTTCTACTACATATCTTGAAATGTTAATGGGAATTTCAAACATTCGTTAGCTACTATATATGTATTAATGTTTACTTTGAACACATTTCCATGTATAGAAGAATGCATAAATAGTATGAAAGATATAGAGGAGTAATTTACATATATAATATTTCAAAATATTTTCGATTTGCTAAGCACTTAGTTAATTACAATTTAACGACATTGGCTTTGTGTGGTGATTCTATTTATTTCGAATTATATTTATATACACATAACACTCTCACTAAAACTAATTATTAATAACTCACTTCATCTATTTGCAAATTATAACAGTGAATTTAAAAATTTAAATACGAGCGCCAGTATTTTATAATATTGAAAATATAATCTTGTATTTTTTAAATAAGCATGGAAAATATATTTTTTATTACATTATAACAATATAATCGTAATGATAATAATTATATTACTTTGGAAGTATATTTAGTGAGAGTTATCAATGTTCTAAGATTCAACAACAAAGTGAAATCATAATTAAGTAAAAATTAATAAAAATTCCAGATTTCAATAGAAAATTTATTTAGCAACCTTTAAAATAATACTGATGTACGAGGATGGTCTATAGAGATTTTTTTAAAAAAAATTATTCACTGTAGAAAAATAATTAAAACTAGTGGTGAATCACATCGTGCCTTAAGGCAAATTGCCGGAATTTCCCGCACCTTTAATGAATAATTCGAGAAATATTAAATGTTTTCAAATAGATTATCATTAATAATGTAACTTAAATTATTCTTATTTTATAAAAATTAAAAAAACAAAACTTAATCGGATTTAATGAACAGTATTGTCAAATATTTCTAACAATAAGTACTTAATAAACTGAAATGCAAAGTTAAAATTATTTATTTGAAGTATATAAGTGATGAAAACTTTAGCTTGAATTAAAATTAAAATCCAAAAAACTTTTTTTTTTGAAAATTAAAAAAAAATTGAACTAAAAAAAATCTTACGCCAAAAGCAACCATTTCGTTAACACAAGCAGAAAGTTTCATCATTCAGAATCATTCAAATCGGATGCTTAGTTCTCTTAAAAACTACAATATTTTGCATCTTTAGCTTTATATCTCCAAAACGGCAGGACCTGCCTTTGCCAAAATCTAATATCCACTTCTCCCCATCATTACGAATCGAATGTTTCATGGATCATTCGAATCGGTTGAGCCATTCTCTTAAAAACAGTGGTTTTTAACACTTTTTGTTCAATATCCATGTGAAGCTTATTAAAATACTTATCATTCTCTTAAAAACCGTGATTTTTAACACTTTTTGTTCCATATCCATGTAAAGCTTATTAAAATACTTATCAAATTAAAAAATACTTGCAACAAACAAACTAGTTATATTTAAAAATAATTAAAATTAACTAAATATAAATAAGGTTATAGCAAA